GGTCTATTATCATGATAAGCTGATATAACTAGTTGTCTTCATTTTAAATAGAAAACATCAGAGTATGGATCATCTACAAAGTATATAATCCAATAATGACCTTAAATCTTTTAGAAGATGTGTTTTGTTCAAATAATGAAAGTATAACAACGTACTGTATTATGGTATGGTCTTTTCATTTGGGTTTATGGTATTAATATTTTTAAAAACATAAATTTATTAAATTAATAATTTTTTGGTATCCTGATTTTTTTACAATAAAAGTGGAACCCACAAATTTAAATTACTGGTGTACTCAGCAGTCAGCAGCTGATCAGGCGACCGTTGATAAAGCAATCATATAATTCGTGAGTCGTTAGGCTCCATTTTCAAAATTCGTTCGAAATATTTTTTATTTATTTATCATATTGCAAGTCACTAGTCATTATCACTTTTCTTTTGCTGAGGATTTGTTTATCCTACTATTGAATTTGGTTGTTGCTTCTTTGTGTGATTGTGAATATTTATTCTTTTTCGTTTTACCAATATAATTAATTAATACTCGGTATATGAGTTGACAAAATTAACTTCCATGCATGATTAGAATGTATCAAATCGACAATTCCAAGGAGAAATTGAATTTTGATGGCATTTATTGTGATAAGTGTATATTTACTTTGTTGTTCAACCAATCAATCCTATGGTTTGACATAACTAATCCAAATATATAATTACAATAATTGAAAGAATGGCAAGAAAAAGTTTTTATGAAATGAAAGCTAACCTAATTTATTATTCTAGTTTACGGTAAATTGACTTTTACAGAAAACATATATTAAAATATATTCTTATTGTCATATATGTACCCAAGAAACATATCAAACCATTATATAATTTGAACAATCAAAATATATTTTAAGCGAGAATAGTCTTATCATATATTTTAGGAAAAACACTATATTAGCCTAAAATAGGTAATTTATTACTTAAGTAACCCAAAACAAATATATATTACTAAATTCTTTTTTGTACCAAAAACACCCGTATAACATTTGTTAGGAAAAAAAGTAATTACCAAACTGTCATTACATTTTAGTCAATCAAAACACTTATTTACAGAACTGCCACCGCGTTTATGTAATAGAATAAAAATAATTTTTTTTAGTAGATTTATTTCGTGTGTAATAGATTTCTATCTGTAATTTAATGAATAGATGATATTGTATATTTATTTTCAACGTTGTAGATATTTGAACAAAGCAAAGATCGTGATCTTTTTGCTAAATGGAGAGGAATTACGCTGCCTCGATGCAAACCAATCACACCCAGAGCAAATACCGTCAAAAGTCCAACCATCCTACACTTCTCAAAAGTCTAACTCCTACATTTTGATATCACCTTTTCCAGCTCTATCCACATTGGTCCATCACCGACACTCACTCCCATTTCTCCCCAAAATTCAGAATGATCAACATCCCATTCCCCTGCAACCTCATACAAATATGTCTTCATACCCGTGAACGCAGCAAATTTACACAGGGAAAACCTTATCGGTTGATTATCAACCAAAGACCATATCTCATGTCTCTTGGAAGTCTTCAACCGATGAGTGAGGAGATAATGAACTGGCTTCGACGACCATGTGAACTGTCTATCAACAAACTTCACGATGACACCAACAAAAGAATCTAATATATATCTCCACACATCATCACCTAAAGCTGCATGAAGCCTACCAATGTTCGTCATATCGTAATAGTGATTCATACTTCTCTTCTTTTCCAGCAGCAAACATTCTATAGGTTATTTCAGTATACGAGATGACAAAATTAACTTCCATGCACGATTAGAATGTATAAAATTAACAATTCCAAAGAAATATTGAATTTTGATGGCATTTATTGTGAAAGGTGTATATTTAGTTTGTTGCTCAACCGGTCAATCATATGGTTTGACATAATTAATCCAAATATATAATTGCAATATTAGAAACAATGACAAAAATGACAAGAAACAGTTTTTATGAAATGAAAGCTGGCTTAATGTACTACATTATTCTAGTTTACAGTAAATTGAGTTTTAGATAAAACACCACAACGATTTGAAGGTTTGCAACTATTTTTATTGTCGTATATGTAACTAAAAAACACATCAACCATTTGAACAATCAAAATACAAAACATTTTTAAGTAAGTAATCTAATTATACGTATATTTTCAGATTTTTTTGTTTATTATCTATCATTCACTTTTTCCGAATATTTTATTTCTTCAACCATTATTTTATAGAACTAAAATCATTATATGT